AGTTGTGTTCTGTCATATGGAGACATCACAGTTTATACGTTCCTTTGTGATGGACACTTGGAGTTTTTCTGGCTTTTGGCTCTTCTGAATGAAATTGCTGTATATCATAAATAAAGTCCTGTGTGGAAATCTTCATTTTCTCTTGGGTAAACACCCAGTGTGTAGTGGCTGGTGGACGCATGTGTCATGTGTTCCGAGGTTGCCCATCTTCCTGAGTGGTTGAGATACAGCTTCTCCTCACCAGCATGTGGCACAGTCTTTTTACTTAGTCCCTTTATTATTAGTTTTTTAACTTTTTTGTTTGAGACGGAGTCTCGCTCTGTCACCAAGGCTGGAGTGCAGTGGCACGATCTCCGCTCACTGCAGCCTCTGCCTCCCAGGTTCAAGCAGTTCTCTGCCTCAGCCTCCGGAGTAGTTGGGATTACAGGCGGCCACCATCATGCCTGGCTAATTTATTTTGTATTTTTAGTAAAGATGGGGTTTCACCATCTTGGCCAGACTGGTCTTGAACTCCTGACCTTGTTATCCACCTGCCTCAGCCCCCCAAAGTGCTGGGATTACAGGAGTGAGCCACCATACCCAGCCAAACCCTCCTTTTAGAGACAGGGTATTGCTCTGTCACCCAGGCTAGAGTGCAGTGGTGGGATCATAGCTCCCTGCAGCCTCTGACTCCTGAGCTCCAAATGATCCTCCCACCTCAGCCTCCTGAGTAGCTGGGACTACAGGTACATGTCACCACACCTGGCTAATTTTTTTAAAGTTTTCATTTAGACCTTCTAAAAGGTTTGCAGTGGTGTCTCACTGTGGCCTTTTTTTTCCCCCACAAATGACTAATGACGTTGAACATCTTTTCATTCAGCTCACCTGTCATCCATAGATCTTCTTTGGTAAAGCACCTGTTTTTTTGTGCATTTTTAAATCGGATCATTTTTCTTATTGTTGAGTTTGGGAGAGTTCTTTATATGTTCTGGATACAAGGCCTTTATCAGATTATCTGCTTTCCAAATATTTTCTCCCAATCTGTGTCTTGTCTTTTCATTGTCTTCATCAGGTGTTTTGAAGAGAAGTTTTTTATTATAAAGTCCAATTTTTCAAATTTTTCTCTTATATATGATGCTTTGGGTATTAGTCTGTTTTCACGCTGCTGATAAAGACATACCCGAGACTGGGTAATTTATAAAGAAAAAGAGGTTTAATGGACTCAGTTCCACATGGCTGAGGAGGCCTCACAATCATGGCGGAATACAAAAGGCACATCTTACGTGGTGGCAGACAAGAGAGAATGAGAGCCAAGCAAAAGGGAAAACACTTATAAAATCAGATCTTGTGAGACTTACTACCACAAGAACAGTATGGGGGATACCGCCCCCATGATTTAGTTATCTCCCACTGGGTCCCTCCCACAACACATGAGAATTATGGGAGCTACAATTCAAGATGCTATTTGGGTGAGGACACTGCCAAACCAGATCAGGTATCGTAGCTAAGAAATCTTTGGCTGTCCCAAATTCACAAAGATTTTCTACTCTATTTTCTTTTAGTAACTTCATAACTTTTGGTTCAGGATTGAGCAGGATTTTTGTTCATTGTACAAGCTTTTTATTCTTTATTTCCCCCATGAACACCCAGTTGTTCCAGAACCATTTGTTGAAGAGACTACCCTTTCTACACTGAATTGCCTTCGTATATTTTTCAAAAATTGGTGTGTTTCTGCATCTGTTTCTGGACTTTGTTCTGTCTCGTTGGTCTGTCTGTCTTGCAGTTTATCCAGCACTGCACTGTTGTGATTACTGCAGCTTTAGCATAATTGGTGAAATGAAGCAGCCCCTCCCTTTCCATTGTCAATGTATTTTCGCTTTTCTAGGTCCATTACGTCTCCATATGAATTTTAGAATCGGCTTGCCAGTTTGTACAAAGAGTCCTGTGGGATTTTGACTGAGGTTGCTGATTCTGTGGATTAATTTGGGAGAGAAGTGCGTTCCCAACACCGCTGAGTCTCCCAGCTTGTGAACAAGGCATAATTCTATCTCCCTGTATGGAGGTTGCCCTGGATCTCTCTCTGCAGTGCTCTGAGCTTGTCATGTGCAGGTTTTTCTTGGCCTGTTCCGTTCCATCTCTATGTAATTTCATGGTGTTGGATGCTTTTGTAAGTGATATTTTTCAGATGACTTTTTGGTGCTGATTTCTAGTTTAATTCAATTATAATCCTATAACACAGTTAGAATTATGAAATTCCTAAATAATCTGAGCTTTCTTTTATGGTTTAGTGTGAAGTGGTCTTAGTACATAGTTAGTTCAAGTGCTCCTGAAAAGAAGGGGCCTTCCGCTCTTAAGAGTGGAAGTGTTTATCCAGGTGAATTAGGTCAAGTTGGCTGATCGTGTAGTCCTTCTCCTGACTTTTTGGTTGTTGTTCTGTCAGCTATTGAAAGAGTGATGTCAAGGTCTCTGATTATAATTGTGGACCCATCTGTTTCTCCTGGCAGTTCTGGCTGGTTTGTCTTCATTTCTTTTGCAGCTCTTTTATTAGTACACACATGTGTAGGCTTATTATTTTCCCTTGATGAATGGATCTCTTTATTATTATAAGGTACCTTCTTGGTAATAGTGTGTGCTCTGTAATGTACTGTTGCCAGTATTGGTCACCTCTCCGGCTTTCTCTTGCTGGTTTCTTAGTGATGGCATATTCTGCCTTTTTGCATCTTTGTATTTAAAGTGCATTATTGTCAGCAGTGTCTAACTGGGTGTTGCTGTTTAATCTAGGTTGAGTGTCTGCCTTTTAATTGTGGTGGTTAGGCTACTTACATTTAATTTAATTATTGATATGATTAGTTTTGATCTTGTCATTTTACTGTTATCTACTTGTCTGTCTCTTGTTCATTCCCTTTATCCTGTTTTTTTTTCTTTTTATCTTTTTTCAGTCTGTTTTGGTGTTTTTCTGATTATGTTTTATTTCCTTTCTTTCTTTCTTTCTTTTTTTTTTTTTTTATAAAGGCGAGATTCCACCATGTTGGTCAGGCTGGTCTTGAACTCCCGACCTCAGGTGATCCGCCCGCCTTGGCCTCCAAAGTGCTTGGATTACAGGCGTGAGCCACTACGCCCGGTCAATGTTTTATTTCCTTAATTGGTGTCCTAGCCATAAGTCTTTGTTATTTTAGGGATTGCTGTAGGTTCTCTAGTATACATCTTTAGCTGATCACAGCCTGCCTTCAAGTGATACTTCACCTTATTACACATAGGATAATCACTTTACAGCAGACATGTTGATTTTTATCCTATAGTGTTGTCATACATTTTATTTATTGTGTTTTTTTTTTTTTTTTGAGAGGGAGCTTCGGTCTGTCTCCCAGGCTGGAGTGTAATAGCACGATCTTGTCTCACCACAGTCTCCATTTCCCAGATTAAAGCGATTCTCCTGCCTCAGCCTCCCCAGTAGCTAGGATTACAGGCATGCTGTATTTGTTTGCTTACTTTTGAGACAGAGCCTCACTCTGTCACCCAGGCTGGAGTGCAGTGGTGTGATCTTGGCTCACTGCAACCTCCACCTCCCGGGTTCAAGCAATTTTTACACCTTGGCCTCCTGAGGAGCTGGGATTACAGGGCTGCATGACCACGCCTGGCTAATTATTTTTAGTAGAGAAGGGGTTACGCCATGTTAGCCATGTTGGTTTTGACTCATGGCCTCAAGCGATCCACCTGCCTTGGTCTCCCAAAGTGCTAGGATTACAGATGTGAGCTATCGCGCCCAGCCTCTGTGTTTTGTTTTTGATAGTTACAATTGCTGTTTCCTCAAGGACACTGAACTTTTCTATTATAGATTCTAATCTGTCATTAATCCCATACAGCCTGTTTATCTGAGACATTGTAGCTTCCACTTCTACATGTGTCCCTTCCACGTCTGCACTTAACTGTTCCATTTTTTCCAGGAGTTTTAACAACTGTCTTAATGTCCCTGTTTGCCAGTGTTGGTGTCTGTGCTGTTCTTGGCAGGTATTTGTTGATTGGTTATTCTCTTCATTACTGGCCATGTTCTCCTGTTGCTTTAAATGTCTGGTAATCTTTGACTGGATGGCAGGCATTGTGAATTTTGGCTTGTTGTGCTTTAGACATTTTTGTATTTGTATAAATCTTCTTGATCTTTTTTCAGAGATGCAGCTAGGTTTCTTGGAAAGAGTTTAGTTTCCTTGGGTCTTGCTGTTGTGGTATGCTGGGGCACCCTGGGCAGTTCTCAGGCTGGAATAGCTGTCTGCATTCCTGTCCCTGTGCAATGTCAAGTGATCTTTCTATCACTGTGGGCCTTGACAGACTTTCTGATTTTTAAACCACATGAATATGTTTTCCATTCAAAATACTAGATTTAGAAATGAAGACAAAACTAGACAGCTTCTTACTGTGAACTAAAACTGGCCCCATTCTGGTTGGGCCATGGAGCCTCGTTTTGCATTCCGTGCCCACGGAGGAGAAAGGAACTCTCCGTGGGTCGCCCCGAAGCCTGCTTTTGTTTCTCATCTGAATTGCTCCTCTGTGGTTCCCCATCACCAGCTCCTTCCACACCCCACATTAGAAGTCCTTTCCTGTCTTTTCTTCATTTCTGAAGACATTCTGAGGTCGCTTTCCTGTTCCTCAGTGGTGTCCCCTGCATTCTGCCGTCACGTCACCCTCTGGGAGCGGCCCACGGACATGGACACACCGACTCCCAGGCATCCTGCCTCGGGCTGGTTCTCTTTGTGCTTCCAGCTAAGATGTGGTCGATTGAGACTTTCTCAGTTTAGGCTTGTCCAGCCGAGCAGGGGCCGCCAAGGACTCCCGCATCCTGTACTTGTGACATTTTCTAGTTTTCTCTTGATGTCATCGCTGGACTCTGAGAGCTTCACAGACATGTATTTAGAAATAAAGCGTTATAGCTGGGCCTCCTAACCTTTCATCTCCTTATCACCCAGAGGGCGGGACTTCCCAGCATGGGTGACCACAGACACCTGGTCACCATTTCGCTCTCCTTGCAGGTTGAAGGTTGAGGAGCTGGAGGGTGAGCGGAGTCGGCTGGAGGAGGAAAAGAGGATGCTGGAGGCACAGCTGGAGCGTCTCACGCTGCAGGTGAGGGCAGGGCAGCCTCTGGGGGACATGCCGCCTGGGGCCTCATAGTGCTCTGTCCAACATGAAAGCCCGTGGTTCCTGCCACCACAGAACACCTGTTTTCTGGCTCATCTGTCTGAACTCTGGGCTCTCCTCCCTCTTGTGGGCACCCCCTTGCCTGGCGGGGAGGCCGTGCTGCTGACAGGCCTGCATTGGCCACCTCTGAGCTCCTCTCCACCCTGCACCACCCACACACCTGGTGTCAGTGGAGTGGGCTCTGGGTGGGCTTGCACTGTGCCCATCCCAGGATCTGCCATGGTGAGCTGGACTGCTATTTGTGTTCTTTTTTGTTGTTCTTTATCTTTGGGTTTCATCCTTCTGTCTGAGTTGCTGCGTGGCAGGAAGCCCTTGGGTGCGAGGTTAACGCGTTTTGGACAGGCCATTGATTTTTTTCTTGGTACCTCTTAGAGGCAGATCAAATCTATTTTTTATGACCAGTTCCTGGTGATTAGAGAAGTGGAATCTGTGGTGGCAGACAGCTCCGAGCTGTGCTGGCCTGTCCTCAGCCTAGGACCTGTCATCTTGTTTTAATTGGGCCATGGTGTACAGGTAGGGGTCATAAGGCTGCTGCCCGCCCACCAGAGGCACTGCATCAGAGCTGCTGAATGTCTCTCTGGCTGCTGGATCGAGCAGAGCCTGAACCCTGGCTCCTTGGCGCCCATGTTGCCCACTGATTGGGGTCCAGGCCTCCCCACAGGCACCACTTGTGGCTTTCCTGCTCCGGCCTCTGGCTGTCTCCCCAAGGCATCCTCAGTGGCCCTTGGAGCTTGTTGAGGTGTGAATGAGGTGAGGGGTGTGGGTGAGCACTGTGCCGACACCTGGCGAACACCTGATGGAACCTGGCCATCATCCCCATCCTGTGTGGATGGCGTGTGCTTGGGAGCTCACTAGTAGAGCACTCCTCTGTGGGAGATGTGGGGCGGGACATCTGGTAGGAGATGCCAATGGCTGGTGTGCACTGCAGGGTTGGCACAAGGGGTAGGGCTGGCAGTGTCACCTGTGACCCTCCCTAGGGTGTTGGAGAGGTGGGGGCCCTGCTCCCAGGCATATCCTGAAGCTGCTCAGATCCGAGGCTTGGTGTTGGTCATGTGTCCTGAAGCTGCTCAGAGCCTAGGCATGGTTTTGACCACATGTCCTGAAGCTGCTCAGAGCCTAGGCATGGTATTGGCCACATGTCCTGAAGCTGCTCAGAGCTGAGGCATGGTGTTGTGCATGTGGAGCACGAGTGCCACACTGTGGCCAGCATGGCCATGTGGGGAGAGGACAGGGCTGGGCCTGGTGGTCCTGGGGAAGCAGATGTTTATACCATGATATAGTGACCTCGAGCCTAGCCCAGGATTCAGGAGCTGTTCCTCCCTGGGTTAGTGCAACAGGTACGACTGTGCCTGGATAGCATATGAGAAACAAGCTCAGAGCAGTGAGGCAGGGAGGCCACTGGGGTTTGGCTCATGGAATGTTGGAAACTTCTAGACAACCCTGTAGCTGCCACCACCACTGACCCCCTCTGCGATTTCACCCCTGGTGTGGGGATGTCCAGGGTGGCACTGGGGAAGGTGAGGCCACATAGGCGCTGTGGTGGCTCAGGCTGCCCTTGGCTCTGGATGCCCGGGGCTGCACGACTGAAGGGAATAATGTATGCAGTCGTCCATTTCCAAGACAAAGTGCCTTGAACCGGCTTAGGCCAGCAAACTACAGAAGAAACAGGATGTACTAGGCTCCTGCTTGGATCACTGATGCCTGCTTGTTGCCTCCCGCTCCCCTCTTCTCCCACTTTCCCCCCACCCACCTTACTTGCCCTCACCCGAACCAAAGAAGTTTAGTCTAAGATGAAAGTTTACTGGCCTGCCAAAGAGCTCGCCTTGTCTGTTCTTATCAGCCTGCCCAGCGACTTAGGTCATAAGTCAAATACTTGAAGAGCCCCTGAGCGGACTAGAATTGCAATGCACTGTGGGCTGCAACAAAATGCAGCAGGATAAGCCGAAAGAAAACACCTAAAGCTCCTCCCAACAGCCAATAGGCAACATCCGGGAAGATGGTGACCCCCATAGTACCCAGCCTGTGAGGAACCGGGGAAGGGACCTGCGCACTGGGGGATAAACTGCTTGTTGTGACCATGCTGGGTGTGCCTGCCTGTCAGACACTGGATCTTGCAAGACCGTCATTAAAAGTCTTACTTTTGGCTGGGCGTGGTGGCTCACACCTGTAATCCCAGCACTTTGGGAGGCCAAGGTGGGCCTCCCTTCACTTCCATTGAACCATCTCCATGGCAGGCAGGGCCCCGAGCCTGCACTCTGTGCTTGGGGGACAGGTTGTGGGGGGCCTGAATCCACTTCCTGTGAGCCATCTCTGTGGCAGGCAGGGCCCCAAGCCTGCACTCTGCGCCATCGCTGCACTCCGGACCCAGCTGTGTGTCCTCTAGACACAGATGGGGCAACCCCATGTCCCTGGTGAGGAAACATCCACTCCCAGATCAGTGGTTTGGTCCAGGGCAGCTGGCCAGAGGAGAGAGTTGAGATCTGAAGCCAGGCTTGTCATCTCTGAGCTTGCTTCTCCCCATGCTTCTAGCCCGACCCACCCCACCCCTGCTTTTCTCAGCCTCTGCATCCTCACGGCCCAGCTGTCAAACTTGGGCCTTGGCTCCAAGGACCCCCTGCCCTGTGGCCACAGGTCTGCTCCCCCAGCCCCGAGGGGCCCCCACCCACATGCCAGCTGCAGGTGATTGTGGTGTGAGCCACAGCTGTTCGGGCCACTTGGGGTTTGCACCCCAATGGCAGAGCTGGCTGCCCAGGCAGTATGGGTCATCCTGGCATAAGGGAAGTATCCAACCCCGATGCCAGAGCCTCCCCCAGTTCTTCTGTCAGTTCAGGCTCAGGCCTGAGTCCTGACCATGCAGGAAGTTGGCAGAAGCTGTGACACAGTGTGACTGGTCCTGGCTGAGTGGAGGGGCAGGAGTTCGCACCTGGTTCAGGGAGCTGGCCCAGACACTGTTTGAAGTGGGTCTGAAAGCAGTTTTCACACATGGAGACAGATGCCACCAGTCCGTCTGCCCAGGCTCGGGTGGGGCCAATATCAAGTCACAGCCCTGGTCAGGAATCCCATCTCACCTTCCTGGCAGTCTTGGGCATGTTGGTTTTTATAAAGGAAGCCCGTTTCAGCACTTACAGCTTCCTTTATAAAGCTGGGGGGCATGATGTCCCCTTGGGGATGCTGGGGAGATCAAAGACCTCCTCTCCCTGCTCCCACTCCCTCCGGAGAAGTCTTCATGTTGGGCCGCTTCAAGGAAGACTGATTACAGACCATGGCATTAGCACACACCTGGCACACTGTGGCTGCTGCACAGACACTCATGCCCATTGTGGCTCTTCCTGCTTCTGCCATCACCAAGGGCAGAGCCTCACCCCTTTACCTCCATCCCTGAACCTGGACACTTTAGGCCTTTGGGCAGCTGTGGTGGAGTGCGGGGGGCCCATCCTGGGGTGCTGGCCTGGGCACTCATGTCATTCCACTGGCCGCTTGTGAGAGCCACACAGGCCTGCTGCACGGGCCTGGGACCCACTGCTCCCGACAGGAAGACAGGCTGCCTGCAGGGTGGCTCCTGGCAGCAGCCAGCCCTGAAGAGTGCTTGGGAGCCATGTTAGCAGGAGCCAGCTGCCACCACTGCATTCCCTGTGTAGATGGATGCCCTCTCCTCTCCCTGCTCCCACTCCCTCCGGAGAAGTCTTCATGTTGGGCCGCTTCAAGGAAGACTGATTACAGTCAGCTGCAGTCTGACTTAATTGGGAACATTCTTGGAGAGGGGCTCAACTAGTTATTAGTTACTAGCTAGTTAGAACTTCATGTAATTAGTTCACAGCTGGTTGGTGAGGAAAGACAATTCCAGTTACCCCTTAGAGCTGGCCACTGCCCTCCCATGGTGCTGAGGCTGGGAGACGAGGCCTGGGAGGTCCTGTACTGCTTTTCTGGGAGGGCCATCATTGGGCTCCACTGTGGCGCCGGCCTTTCTGAATCTCCCTAAGATCCCAGAGCTGTCCAACACTCCTTAGGGCCGACTGTGTGCGCTCTCGTGTTGCTGAAGGGGCTGGAAGCGGGTGGGTGGGGCCTCTTTTGCTGCAAGCCCTCCCATCCAGTCTAGAAATGGGGAAAGTGAGGCCCACAGGGAGTGTGTGCGTGAAGGAGGAGCTCAGATGCTCCATTCTTGGGAGGCAGAATGAGGCTTGAATATGTTGCTGTGTTTTCAAGTGAAGACAGAAATTGGGCAGACCCCATGGAACTCCAGATAGGGTGGCAGAGGGAGCTCTGTGGCTATTGGTGCAGTCACAGGAGTTGGGGCAGGTGGAAGGCACAGTCCTTGACCCCACCTGCAGCCCCACCTGCGGCCGTGGCCTCCCGCCCCACCCCTGGCCCCACAGCCCGAGTGCACCCCTGTGCTTTTCTGTGGGCCTAGAACCAAGGAGCTGGGGCCTCAGCACCTTTGTCCTCATCTGGCTCCCGGCTGCATTCTCATGCCCCACCTTATAGTGGAGGCACTGGGCCTTGTCAGCTTGGGCCCCACAGCCTGGGGTGGGCCATGGCTCTGTCTCCCACTGGCTGCGGCCTGGCCTCGGCGTGCTCCCCAGGATATGGAGGGCATGGGTCTTTCCTGCAGGCTGTCTTTGGAGATCTCAGGTAATGGCTCCTGGAGGGCCGGCACATACCTGGTGAGCTGGGCCTGTGTAGCTGCCATTCTTGTTATCCATCATAATACCATCGTCCTTACCTCCATGACATGGGCATGTTTTCCACACCTGTGGTTCTGATGGGCCACGTCCGAGGATGGAGGGCACTGAGCCAAGGCAGGACACACAGGGAGGTGATCAGGGCCTGCAGGCCACCCTCAAAAGAGAGGGGCACATCCAGTGGAGGCCTCACTGCGCCACAAGGAGGCCACTCAGGGCCCACAGGCCACCCTGGGTAGAGAGGGG